GAACGCGCGGTAACGTCGCCCTCGACGAACTCGCCGGAACTCGTTCTCTACGTATTCCTCTCTTCGATCGTACGTATGCGTATTGTTTCTCTCTCCTGTGCCACGTTCGCGTTCTTCGCCGCAAAAGAAAATCATCTCTGTTGCCCGACTTACGTGTCGAAATCGTTCTCGGCGATAATAAGGTAATACGCTTCTCGGCGATTTCGTGCCACTCCACAGCCCAAGTATCGCGCAGCGACGAGTTAGCAGTCGCGGAACAACGATGCAACGTCCCGGAAGCGACAGGAAAGAGAAAACGAGAGGCCGAGGAACGAGTTCGAGTACCGACGATTCGTACCAAGGTGTTTGGATAAAAAATGGAAATCGTCTTCGGTCACGGGAAAAGGGAACGAGTAAGGTACGCGAACGAAACGCGACAACTATCGCGACGTTGACCGATTAACGTTTATCACAGTCTTGGTGTGCGATAAAATAAAAAACAAACTTAGTCCATGATTCGTCGATCCAATCGAGACACGGTGCACAACGTCCGCCGTTGTTTCGATCATCGTCAAACTATACAATCGACTAAAGTTATTCGAGTTATCGAATAATATTAGTATTGGTATATTATTTACACGAATTTGATCCTAACAATCGATGCTCGAACGGGACAATCGCGTTGCGAGCGAACGCTCAGCGATCAAAAGAGACGGGACATGTCAGAGCGATAAAAAATTCGATCATTCGTTAGTTCCTAATTTACGAGGGGAAACGAAAGCGTGGAAAGCGTAAAAAAATGATGACGTGGATCAACTTGCGTGGAAGCAACTTGTGTGTATGGGAGAAAGTGAGAGAGAGAAAGAGAGAGAAAGACTCGCGATTCGTTGGTCGTGAGCCGTCGTTCTCGCGTTCTCGTCGTTGCGCGTTACGCGTCTCTCGATCCGTTCCAGCCGTCCGAGAAAACCGGTGTAGCCGCGAGTCACGCGTCGTATCGGAAAGAACAAAGTAGGGGATCGCGAAGGAAACGAGGCGAGGGTATTCGAGGATGTACGAAAGGCCGAGTCGCGAGGGGATTTCGAAGGGACACGAACAACTCGGCTGAACGCTTACTGTCAGGGTCTGACGAGAGGCTTACCTCCGTAAGGGGCGGGGTATTGTCCGGTCAAGAGAGGGTAACCTAGGCCCACGTGCGTGTGATGGTGGGTGTGCACGTGTCGTTGGGGCGGGGGTGATCTATTGTCTTTCGCCAAGGTGCCGGTCCCGGCGTCGACGGGTGGTTGTTGCTGCTGCGATTGTTGTCCTCCCGGTTGATTCTGCTGCTTCGCCGTTTGCTGCTGGCTCTGAGGCTGGGGTGGACCCGGACCCGCGACCGAACTCGGCGGCCCGCTCGGTGGCC